TGACTGAACAACTCAGAAACTCCCCAGCTAAGGCTCTCCAAATGGACGTTAGCAGTGAGGGCCGAGATGCCCATGCATTAACTTTTGTTTGCTATACATGTTTGGGGATGCTATTCACGAGGACATATTGTTCTGTCTCAAGATTCCTGAGCATGAAACGGCATAGGGAATGTTCAGTGTGCTGCGTGGCTATATTGACAAAAAATTGATTCCATATGGGATCGAATGGTGGGCTTTTTCACAGATGGGGCTCCGTCTATGGCGGGACGGCAGGCAGGCCTCTGCCATATGGACGCATTGTACGGTATGAAACCACATACTATTGCAGAGACTTGGATATTACTGGATGCAATTCATATGGTGAAAACAATGTGTGGGGAGGCAGAGGCACAGAAACTCACATCAATACCTTTGTCAGACAACACTGTTAAACAAAACATTTATGCTATTGCTGGCAATCAAGAGGAAACTCTGACTGAACAACTCAGAAACTCCCCAGCTAAGGCTCTCCAAATGGACGTTAGCAGTGAGGGCCGAGATGCCCATGCATTAACTTTTGTTTGCTATACATGTTTGGGGATGCTATTCACGAGGACATATTGTTCTGTCTCAAGATTCCTGAGCATGAAACGGCATAGGGAATGTTCAGTGTGCTGCGTGGCTATATTGACAAAAAATTGATTCCATATGGGATCGAATGGTGGGCTTTTTCACAGATGGGGCTCCGTTTATGGCGGGACGGCAGGCAGGCCTCTGCCATATGGACGCATTGTATGATACACCAAGAGCAATTGGCGGCAAAAGAGCTGAGCACAGAACTCGTAGTTATACTGCAGCAGGTAACTTCGATTGTACATCAAACCACATCCACTGCGCGCGCACCTGTTCGCAAAACTATGTGGAGAAATGGGATCAGAGCCTGAAAATGTTCTATTTCACACTGAGGCTTGGTGGTTATCGAAGGGGGGTGTTGGAAAGATTTTTCGAATTGAGAGAAGAACTGTTGTCAATCACAATGGATGTAAAAAAACAGACTTGGTCGGACTTTCTGTATAATGAAAAGAAAATAACAGAAGACAGCGTCATTAAGTGTCCCACACGAGTAATGGCTGCTCACCTCCAACACTTGGAAGAGCACTTTGGGACCTACTTCCCAAAGCTCAGTTGACATGCCGGTAAGTGAAATCGAACAGCTGATCGAGCTGTCATGTGACCGAATGCTGCAGAGGAGTTTTGGTTCCTGACTCAAAGGGAATACCCTGCCGTCTCCCTCTGAGCATTAATGCCACATTCAAAACAACTGCGAACTGGGAACTCGGAAATCTCTGACTTCCAACTTCAGTGCGTTCAAGACAGCTCCGACTTTCCGACCTAAAGATCGCTGACGTTATGATTTGACCTCGTATTTTTCAGAGTTCCCAGTTGTCTTGAAAGCACCATAAAACTCATAGGAGGCTACCCTTCGCCAGCTCATATCTGTGTGAAGCTGGATTCAGTGCTCTCGTCTGCATTAAAACCAAATATCGATCCAGGTTGGATGTGACAGCAGAGATGAGGTGTGCACTGTCGACCACGCCCCCTGACTTTGAGAAGCTCCGACTTACATCAAGCACACCCATCTCATTAGTGATGGTGAGATAAGAGACATTATGTCAGACTAATTTGCAATTGACTGTCATAGCCTCACATTAAAAGTATGTGACGTTTGACTTTACCAGTGTAATCCCCTTTCAATTTCAATAAATATGAATCGCAGACTGTCGGCCACACTTGAAAACTAGCACTTGACACTAGCATAGTTAACAACTACCCAGACGGAAAACAGTGATGCACAAAACACACAGCACCCCTTCTACAGGCGTGTGGGGGAGGACTGGGAGCCAGTGGACCATTCAAACCTTTTTTGCAATACAAAATTCTCCAGATTGCCAAGGGAGGCGTGACAATGACGTGATTTTGGAGGTATGGCAATGCCAGACTAATATGTCATTAATATAATTAATGTATCTAGCTTCACACATAGATATAGACAAGATGTATTATTGTTCTGTTTTTATATGCATCATTGGGTTTACATTGTAGACCTGAGCAGGCATCTCAGCTTTTAAAGCTATGGATCTTCAGACATATTTTATACTATTGGAATTAAATACTACTGTATACACCCAATACGTAGTATATACACAATCTACTGTATGTACACAGTATATACACACCATATTTAGCTGATTTATCCAAACATTCAAGACTCTGGTCCCAAACCTTGTGGCATTTAAGGGGTATTTAAGGGACTCTGCACTCAGTGCTGTTGCTGAGAACTTCATTCTTGTAGCCTTTAGCTTTGTGTCTAGACAGACCATCTGCATGTCATATTGTATTATATCAACATACAGTGTTTAAAAGAATCATTCAAGAGGAATAAGGGAGAAACATAATTTGGATATTTAGTAAAATATACTAATGAAGAGAACTTGCTGGCTGGTGCCTTTTTAGAAACAGGGTCTGTGAAAAATTGTCCAAGAGCAACACTAAGCCGTAATTTTTACTGAAAATTTATTAGCTTAGTACATTTCCCACAGTCCTATTTGATATGCTACATTTAGATATTAATGCTGTTTCATTTAAGTACTTTGGTGAACTTGCTGCATTTGCCATTGGCCTTCCATTCGAGAATGGCTATAGGGTACTGAATGAGCAAGGTGGCTGGGGGATATATTTGGTTCCCACAACACAATGGTGGAACATGCCTGTGTCAGACAGTTAAAACCTAAGGAAACTGTGACACTGTGAGCAGGCCTTTGATGTTTTTGCAAGCCCCAGTGTTAGGAATCCCAAGTTGAAGCAGAAAAGTGGAGATTTGTTGGAATGCTTTACTGCACACCATTTATAACTGTTTATAATATTCTTCTGTGTCTGCATATTTTCTCTGTGCACATTACTCATCAGAATAAAAACAAGAACTATGAAAACCTCGACCAACTGTCCTATGACAACAAGCGAGGACCCAAGGTATACTTGCATGGTCAATGCACGCCGCCCACCAATTCTCTGAACTTAGCCACTAGAAACTAGAAAGTAAAACAGTCAACAACCGATTCCAGAGATATCCTTATCCTGGTAGCACGTCTTTTTACATTTTCTTTTATGATTTCAGTCGAGAATGGGTTTTTAGTATATTTTCAGCAAAATGAAACGCCCCCTCCAACCTTTTTTTATTTTTGTGTAAAGGGCTGCATGTGTTCAAACCAAGGAGATTGCAAGTCTATTACTTTGACAACGTTTGTGGAGATCTGGTCGTGTGGGACAGGCACAATCCAGATGGCACCTCCTACCTTTCTGCAGCCTTTCCTACTTATTTTGTTCTTTGGGAAAGAAACCACCACCACCCTCCTCCCTCCTCCACCACTTTGATTTGCGGTTGCATCAATCTTCTTCTCCCTCTACTTCTAACTTGCACGTTCCTCTTTGGAGTCTTGACAACCCTCAGTTTGCATGCATAAATGCAGAACAATTTTTCCTACCAGCTTCAATTTTTTTCAGTTAAACAGATTATCTTGGAACCTTTTTCTCCATTTCTTCCACCCCCCTCCCCCCAAAAATAGAACAATAAAAAGAGGAACTGAAGACAGCATGGTTCAGGGCTGAGTCCTTCTCCTCCTTGCTAATTTTGTCCCCTAACTGCAGGCAGAGAAAGTTCTCCTGTTCAGCCAAGACACCAACCTGACATCCATGCTGCTGGAGGCCAAGGACCTGGAGGCTCGCGTCATCATCCTTTCTGCCAGGTCAGCTCCCGTCTACGTCCCTCACGTCCCTCACTGCACTACACGTCTAAACCTCATATACCACATATACACATGTCCTTATTATGAGGCCATCGGGACTCAATGACATCATTATACTGTAGTAATATATAGTAATACAGGTTACATACATGCAGTATATATTATATCATATTATCATAATAATATATTAATAATGAAAACACAAATATACTGTTATTGGCACCCTGGCCAGTAGTGGTCCTGTACATTTTGGATGAACTATCAATTTATTGCACCGAGCAAAAGACACATTGACATGTATTGTACTCTTGGTGTAGTCACTGGAGATTGACCGGAGCTGCCGTTGTGGTAATGATGTGTATCTGACTGTAGCGAGGACGAAGCTGCGTTGGTCTACAAAGCTGCGCGCCAGCTCAACATGACGGGCTCTGGCTACGTGTGGCTGGTCGGAGAGAGGGAGATGTCTGGTAAAGCTTTGAGTGAAGCACCAGATGGTATGTACTGCTCCTATGACCCCATGCCTCTCTCACAGACTCTGCAACAGATCGGTCATGCTGACCACATTGCTTTATTATTCAAATGTTTAATCCTCATCTGCAAATCAGTGTGGTGTGTAATACATTGAATGTTTGAACGTTTAAACATTTGTTTGTTTAAAGGTTTAAAACAAGTGATTTCTCATTGTACTGTGCTATACATGTCTAACATCTTTTGTTTGTTCAATTTTTAGTGTGTGTGTGTTTCTTTCAGTAGACAACAAATGAAATAGAGGTTTTGGCAATCTACATTGCTTTGAATTCACGTTAATATGAGAGTCTGGCTCTCATGAGCTAATTTAGAAAAAGTGTGTTGCTACCCACACATTGAAGTGTAACAGAAAGCCAATGGTAAGCTACAACTGCATTTTTTTTGACCTGGCTACATGTGTGACACGTCTGTACATAACCTTCACTTCAACATGCTCACTTTGCCCTAACCCCTGTTCTGTACAGTATAATCCAGAACCTAACTCCTATCCTTAATAGGTACTTGTTGTTTCTATATAAGCAAGTTTAATGTTTGTCATGGCCTAATATTAGCCGTCTCGTGTCAAGCGCTTCTCTAAAACAGTGATTTTGTCGACTGGTCAGGCTTGCTCGGCCTTCAGCTCATCAACGGCAAGAACGAGTCGGCGCACATCAACGATGCCGTGGGCGTGGTGGCACAGTCCATCCAGGAGCTCTTTGAGAAGGAGAACATCACAGAACCGCCCCGTGGCTGTGTAGGCAACACAAACATCTGGAGGACTGGGCCGCTCTTCAAACGGTAAGGCCACAAGTAATAGTGAGAGTAACTAAACAAACTCCACAAACACCCGTTTTTTTTAGTTGTTTGTTTGCGCACAGTCAGAAGTAGGTCTGCTTGAAATAACCATAACAGTCCTGTATGTCCCTCAGTATAAGACAAGCAGAAGACAAGGGCCAAAACATAAAACTGAACATGCTGGCCCAGGCAGCCGAGGTTGCTGGGAGACAGGGGAGGGAGGGCAGCCTGAAAACAAGGCCTCCTTTCTGAGCAGTTCTAATTGGAAGCGGACCAAGTCAGACCCCTGAAAATCATCCCTGTTTCATTGTGCATTCTCTGAGAAATGAAGCTTAGTTTCCATTGGCATTTAGGGCCATACAGGTCGAATTCAAGTCGGGTTGGGCTAGCCTTGGTGGGTACAGCTTGAATTGCATTTCCATTGCCTCCTAAATGTAGTGTCTGGCTGTTGGCAAGACTACACAGACAGAACTCAGAATGAAGGGGATATAGGGTTCTACACCCTTCTATTACTCTCTGTATTCATATACCTGAAAGGGATGTCAGGTTATGTTTACGTTGCACCATTGTTGTTGATGTTGTAAAATAAATTACCCAAGGCTTGTTAATAAAGACTCAAACTCAGGAAACACACACACACACAAAATAAATAATCGGAAGAATTGGCAGATACATCCTGATTTCCAAATTGGCTGCCCCCAAAAAATTCACCACATATCAACTTCATTCAAAATGCGTTGTATTATCGTTCCAAAGACATCCTCATTTCACCCACCCCCACCCTCCTCCCTTCATCCTCATTGTTTTCAATCTCCCATCTCACTCCCTCTCATCAACCAAGCCCATCATGTCACATCGGGATGATTTGTCTGATGACGCCATCCCTCCGATCTCCCCGCTGGACTCTAGAGTGCTGATGTCATCCAAGTACCCAGATGGCCTGACAGGACGCATCGAGTTTAATGACGATGGTGACAGGCGGTTTGCTACCTACAGCATCCTCAACTACCAAAAGACCAGGCTGGTGCAAGTGGGCATTTTCAACGGCACCCAAGTACGGGAGTTTTTATTAAATGATTTATGTTACCAGTTGTACATAATACAGTGTTTTTTAAATTAAGTGTTACATTAAGTAATTATGCCTTGGTGCTATCATTTTGTATGGGGAACATTAATATTTGGGGTGGTTTGTACATAGAGATGAAATGACTAGACCAATTAAATTAACGTGCCATATGAGTGTACTTTTGGGTTTGTAGGTGATGACCCGCAGAGGAAGATCATTTGGCCAGGAGGAGAGACGGAGAAGCCAAGAGGATACCAGATGTCTACCAGACTGAAGGTAGCTACTACGTCCTGCTCATGGCCGTAATCAGGGTCTGAGTTTTAGTGAGGTCTGGACGGGGACGGGGAGTGGGCTTTATCCCCCCCCCCCCCCCCCCCCCGCCCCCCCCATCCAATACATTTTTTGAAAGTAAATTTTCTGCATTTATATACAATTTCAAAACTCTAAAATGCTATTTGGAGAACAGCAAAAACAAGCAAAAATTAACCCAGCCATTATCACGTTGTAGCTGTGGCTTCATTCACCTCAGTCGATCTATAAACTCATAGCCTATTAGCTATACAATTTGCTGCTACACATTAACTCACATTAACTCAGCACCGTGAATAATTTTTTTATACATACAGAGGAATCTGTTAGCATAAAAAGTATTTAATTAGGGTCAGATCAAAATTTACTGGGGGGGGGGGGGGGGGGGGTTGGCTGGTCCAACTCAAGGTGTCATAAAAAAATGCACCCCCCTCCCCAACATTACAAATATTTTCACATGACCCTCCCCTTGTACTGTCAAATAAATTGAACACCCTCCCCCTCATAGAATTGACATATTTTTTACATAAATACATATACAATGACATAGATACAGACACATTACAGAGATACAGACAAAAAAATTATCAACCTCCAGATGAGTGGTCTGTAGCTTATTCTTTAGATGTTTGGGGCTGTTGGTGAACTGTGATGTGCAGGCATATTCAAAGTGACACTGGACTAGCGCGCTTGCCACAGTCTTTAGGGTGTCTATAGCTAGGTTTCCATCAAATTGATGACAGATTTTCATGCAAATATTCTAAAATCTGCATAAAAACAATATGCACATTTCAGAAAATGTGGCAGTAAAGATTTTAATTTACCGGACATTTGAGAAATTTACCAGACATCCATATGCATTCAGATCTGACCTGGCGCAGCCAACGAGGGATATTGGCCAAATGAGCCACATTTACGTGTCCTTAAAAACAGATTATAACAAATTACAAAAACACTATTCCTTGGGTTACGATGTGTAGCATATGCAAAACTTTATAGCCTATTTTTTAAATTTGTTTTTAGGCTACTTTCCTAAAACAATAAATGTCCACCTCACTAAATTAATCAGGGCATTGCATGCATAGGCCTATAGGCTTGTCCACTGTATAATATGAAAATAAAATATATTTGCATTTTCAACTCCAGGCCTACGTATAGATATAGCGATTGTGCCCACACTTGTATTGGTATGTGTGCTCTAACCAACAGCTTGCAGATACAGCGCAGGTATAGCCTACTACATGATGAGATTATTATGGATAAAATATCATTTTTATTTGTCAAATGGCAGCCAAGCATCGATCATCATTTCACCAGAATAAGACCCTTGATATTTATTGAAAGGAGCATCAACCTCATCACTGTGCACTTTCACCACCCTGTGAAGTTCATAATAACTTATTTAATCTGTAGCCTAATAAACTGCATGCTTTCTCATGATGTCGTGACATGTTTTTATCCGACATGTAGGCTACTTTACTCGCATAAAAGATTGGATGGAAGCCTGGTTAATGTCAAGCCATTTTGAGGATGCTGGAATTATATTTGTGATGAACGTGTGCAGGCCTACAGGAGACTTTTGAAGTAGCCTAATCAGATGAAAACATTGTGACTGGTTGTGTTTCTGCCACATATAAAAGGTAATACATTTTAAAAGTTAAATGATAAATATTTAAGCTATATTGAAGCGTCAGCTTCTAGGTGCGCAAAGAATAGCCGCTCGGATTGGAGAGGAGGCAGAGCGTGTGTTAAGCTTTTCTGAATAACTGGGCCTGCCGGGAGCATATGTGGACAAATTATTATAGGACGACTTGGGAGAATGATGATCTGCAACAGACAGCGTATTCAGTATCAGAAGTAAAAGTACAGCCAGACTGACCTGCTACTGTGCCGTTCTAGACCTTTCTGATGAACTGATTCAAATCACAGGGCTTTTCTGACATTATTCAACTGACATTTTCACTGTAGCCTAGAGTAGAACTTTGTACTCGCTTGAAAACAAGAATGAAATTATCTATTGCGTTATGCCATGTTAATTTGATATCTAAGTGACAGTGACTAACAAAATCAATGGAGGCCCCCCGGAGGTCAGGGCCCCTGGGTACATGCCCTGCGTGCCTGGTCGATAGTGCGGCCATGATTACTAGAGGTTTAGATAGCTGGCTAGACTAATTTGCCAATCTAAAACATTTTATGACATGGGCTCATTGAGTGACTGTCAGTGGGTGAGAGAGAAAAACCAAGTTTCGAAATTGCACCTTGTGTATTCTACTATTCTAACTCTCAACAGTAAGTTGAGACCCCGACTGAGTTCCTAAAAAATAGGTCTGGACCTTTGTGTCCTCATTTGCAGCTACCGCCCTGGTCCTGCATAACCAGGGGTGTATTCACTAGGAACCAAATGGAAACAAATGGGTAGAAACGGGGAGGGACTTACCTGAATTTGTCCAATTGTTTCTGTTGAAAATGTTTTCTGTGGCTAAATGTTTTTCTACGGTGTGCACCAATGAATACACCCAAGCACTTGTTCCTTGTGTTGAATGTCTGTGTGCCAAAATGTGCTGGCGCCATGCTTGTCCTTCTCTATTGTTCACAGATAGTAACCATTCATCAGGAGCCATTTGTCTATGTACAACCCACAACAAGTGATGGAACTTGCCAAAAAGAAAAAACTGTAAATGGACTCAAAGATGTCCAGAAAGTTATATGCACTGGCCCCAATGGAACCATCCCAGGTAATAAGACAGCCACAGGATATACTACTACTACTACTACTACTATTACTACTACTATTATTATTATTATTATATAAACACAAGTAGTAGTTCAGTATAGTGTCAGTCTGTAATGGCTGTAAACTGTACTATATGTGCCAATATGTTGATTTTCTCTCAATATCAGTGTTTTCGGCTGATTTTGTGTTTGTCCATTATAGGACAGCCTATAGTACCCCAATGCTGCTACGGCTTTTGCATTGACCTCTTGATTAAACTAGCGGATACCATGAACTTCACCTATGAGGTTCATCTGGTGGCTGATGGGAAGTTTGGTACACAGGAGCGGGTAAGTAGGATGATCATATGGTTCTGCAGCTTTAGAACCGAACCCCCTTGTGCTATGGAACACCATCCTCAAGGTTCAAGGTAATCTTTATTATCACAGAGAAATACAATACATGCAACACTATACAATAGTGTTGCAGTGCACAAGATGCAGTGCAGTACTGGCTACATGTGTGGTATAGTATGGACTACCACATCTGAAATGCCAATCAATGTGTATTCTTGGGTGTTATTTTCCACCTTCACCACAATTCATATTTTATGACTTTCTTGGGACCCACAAATGACAGACCAGTCCATTCTGTTTGATTAGAAAAACGTTGTCCTTTCGCAGCCTACACAATATACAGACAAAATCACCAATTGAAAAACAATAACAACAACAGATAATCAATGGATATTTAAAAAATATGCCAGTAGGCAACATTTGTGCAAAATGCAATAATATAAAGGGTACATGTACAGGTTATGTGCATTATGCTAAAGTGCAATTTAGTCCAACATCTTATGTAATTGTAGGATCGCATTTGTGATCAAACCGTTTTTGGCTGATCCAAGCATCAATCAGGTGTGGAAATGTCGACTAAGTATGTTGAGTACAGTGGATGCCCCTCTCTCTTTCTATATCAGGTGAACAACAGCAACAAGAAGGAGTGGAACGGCATGATGGGAGAACTCCTGGGTGGCCTGGCAGACATGATTGTGGCTCCGCTCACGATCAACAACGAACGCGCCCAGTACATCGAGTTCTCAAAACCCTTTAAGTACCAGGGGCTTACCATCCTCGTGAAAAAGGTATGCTGCTCTTACTCCTGCTGCTCAGACAGGCACCCATTGAAGCTATTGTTTTCTTCCTACAACTATGACCCAGTATAGTACTACTCACAGTCGAGTGAATGGGATGAGTCACTGGCTGTTGTTTGACTGTAGGAAATACCACGCAGTACTCTGGATTCGTTCATGCAGCCCTTTCAGAGCACCCTGTGGCTGCTGGTGGGTCTATCGGTCCATGTGGTGGCGGTGATGCTCTACCTGTTAGACCGGTTCAGGTAAAACAATGACATGTCTGTGTACAGTAATACCCCCTTTTGATCACATTATTAAATAATAATATAGGCCTTTTAGCAGCTACTTTTATCAAATGTGACTTACGGTCATGCATGCATACATTTTCATATGGGTGGCCCCAGTGGGAATCGAACACGTGATCCTAGTGTTGCAAGTGCCATACTTAACCATTTGAGCCACATAGGATCAGGAAATTCCCCATACTTTTCCTATGCCACAGGTTCCCCATGCATTTGTAATTGTTCATGTCTGTGGCAAGTGAAACTAAACACAACACAGGCACATGAAATAAAGAACTGCACTGACATCCCACTGGGGACAGACGTCAGTTCAACGTTTAGTTTTGATTTACATATGATTGAGTTGTCAACTAATGTCAATTCAAAGTGAAATCAACAAAGATTTGAACCATGTCATTGGATTTAGGTTAAAAGTTGGGTAAAATAAATACACAAATTCCTGAAATTCCTTTATGTTGATGACTTTTTGCAAATCCAATCAGTTTTCCACTGAATTGTTTTGCTGAAATTACATGGAAACAACCTTGATTCAACCAGTTTGTATCCAGTGGGATAGGTTGGAGGTTTGGTGGGTTGAAAGAGAGCTGAGCTCACATGTGTCTTGTGTGCACCGTAGCCCATTTGGAAGGTTTAAAGTGAATAGCGAAGAAGAAGAAGAGGATGCCCTCACCTTATCCTCCGCCATGTGGTTCTCATGGGGAGTCCTTTTGAACTCCGGGATAGGAGAAGGTAAATATCCACTGGCCTAAGTCTACGTATGTGTCCGAAATGGTACCCCAAGTGGACTACTGTATATAGGGAATAGGTTTTCATTTCAGATGCAGACTACCTTATAGAATTACATACTGTATAGAATAATGTAATTTATTAATAGAAACATACAGTATATAGTAATTCAATAGGATATTTGTAGACTACCTATTCAAGTGGACATTGAAATTGGCTGCTGTTAACTGAGTGACTATGTTTGTGTTTGTGATTGTGTTTGTAGGAGCACCCCGGAGCTTTTCAGCAAGGATCTTAGGTATGGTGTGGGCTGGATTTGCCATGATCATTGTGGCATCCTACACTGCCAATCTGGCAGCCTTCCTAGTGTTGGACCGGCCTGAGGAGCGCATCACTGGCATCAATGACCCCAGGGTGAGCACACACACTAAGTGTTTTCATACTTGGTCCCTTTCAGTCAATTTTTTAGAACTTGTTCATTTTTTGTGCAATGTGACCATAGATCCCTCAAAAGAGTCCCCGAAGTGAACCGAACTGAGACCATCTCGAGAGGTAGTCTGAGTTCGGTTCACTTGAATTCCGCGGTGCGGTTGCCTTTTTTAGGGCAAGGTGAACACAAAGCTCCCCAGGTTCGCTTATCATTATTCCCGCACCACACACTAGACTACTGCAACACTATTTCCCCTACCATAACCCTTCACATTGGTGCCACAAAAGAGAGAAGATGATGTGTAGGTTTGTGGAAAAAACGTGTGCTGTTTTTGGATATTGATTAGGGGTTGTCATGGATGCACAGAAATTCCTAAATATGTGTGGAGTTTTTACTTCAAGATTATTTGTTTGCAATATGTGATCTATAGGCTAAGAGAGCCTATAAGCTGTTTATTTGATTGTGGGGTTTGAATTGTGTGTGAAGACAACAACATATTTGGTGAGAATTACAACATAGGGTATAAAATATTCTAACTCCTAAAGGAGCAGTAGCCTACATTGGGTGTACAATTTTCAATTACACCATTATTTAATCTGTAGTTATTTCTGCTATTTATTCTGTTACCAATAATATTTAAATGTTAATATCTTCTGAATACAATTATTATGTCCCATCTATTAACTAAATGCAATCTATAAGCTTCCAAAATGTAAGTAGGTATATCTAGCTGTCCGATAACACGTTCAGATGGAATGGCTTGTTCTGCCCTTTGTAAAAACCCAGAGTGCATTGAGTAAATGTTGGGAAAAGATCTTGGTTCCTTTCTAAACATAGCAATGTGAATGCAAAGATGTCTCCGAACACAAAATAGGTGAAGTATTTGTATTTATTATGCAGTGTATTCGGAAAGTATTCAGACCCCTTGACTTTTTCCACATTTTGTTAGGTTACAGCCTTATTAAAACAGTTTTCCCCCCTCATCAATCTACACACAATACCCCAAAGCAAAAAAAAACTATGGAACATTTGTGGGCAGAACTGAAAAAGCGTGTGCGAGCAAGGAGGCCTACAAATCAGACTCAGTTACACCTACTCTGTCAGGAGGAATGGGCCAAAATTCACCCAACTTATTGTGGGAAGCTTGTGGAAGGCTACCTGAAACGTTTGACCCAAGTTAAAACAATTTAAAGGCAATGCTACCAAATACTAATTGAGTGTATGTAAACTTCTGACCCACTGGGAATGTGATGAAAGAAATAAATGCTGAAATAAATCACTCTCTCTACTATTATTCTGACATTTCACATTCTTAAAATAAAGTGGTGATCCTAACTGACCTAAGACAGGGAATTATTACTAGGATTAAATTTATTTGGCTAAGGTGTATGTAAACTTCCGACTTCAACTGTACATAGCGCATTGATGTGAACTGCTGCTCTCTCATTTCGCTATTTGCGCCTTACGGATTGTGGTTGTTGTGGATGGCTGTTCACAAATATATACAGTGCCTTCAGAAAGTATTCAGACCCCTTGACATTTTCCACATTTTGTTAGGTTACAGCCTTATTCTAAAATTGATTAAAATAGTTTTTTCCCCCCTCATCAATCTACACCCAATACCCCATAATGACAAAGCAATAACAGGAGTTTAGAAATGTAGCTCAATTGGTAGAGCACGGTGCTTGTAACGCCAGGGTAGTTAATTCAAATCAAATCAAATCAAATCAAATTTTCTTGGTCAACATGCCGCCGAATACAACAGGTGCAGACATTACAGTGAAATGCCTTACTATACCAGCCCTTAAACCAACCATTGCATTTAATGTTAAACAAAAAAAGTAGAATAAACCAAAAACAAAAAAAGTGTTGAGAAAAAACGAGCAGAAGTAAAATTAAAGTGACAGTAGGGAGGCTATATATACAGTCAAATGAAGTGACAGTAGGGAGGCTATAATAATACATGGGGGGTAACCGTTGCATAGTCAATTTGCGGGGGCACCGCTAGTTGAGGTAGTTGAGGTAATATGTACATGTGGGTAGAGTTAAAGTGACTATGCATAAATACTTAACATAGTATGCAGCAGCGTCAAAAAGGATGGGGTGGGGGTGGCAGTGCAAATAGTCCAGGGTAGCCATGATTAGCTGTTCAGGAGTCTTATGGCTTGGGGGTAGAAGCTGTTGAGAAGTCTTTTGGACCTAGACTTGGCACTCCGGTACCGCTTGCCGTGCGGTAGCAGAGAGAACAGTCTATGACTAGGGTGGCTGGAGTCTTTGACAATTTTGAGGGCCTTCCTCTGACACCGCCTGGTATAGAGGTCCTGGATGGCAGGGAGCTTTGCCCCAGTGATGTACTGGGCCGTACGCACTACCCTCTGTAGTGCCTTGCGGTCAGAGGCCAAGCAGTTGCCATACCAGGCGGTGATGCAACCAGTCAGGATGCTCTCGATGGTGCAGCTGTAGAATTTGTTGAGGATCTGAGGACCCATGCCAAATCTTTTTAGTCTCCTGAGGGGGAATAGGCTTTGTCGTGCCCTCTTCACGACTGTCTTGGTGTGTTTGGACCATGATAGTTCGTTGGTGATGTGGACACCAAGGAACTTGAAGCTCTCAACCTGTTCCACTACAGCCCCGTCGATGAGAATGGGGGCGTGCTCAGTCCTCTTTTCTTTCCTGTAGTCCACAATCATCTCCTTTGTCTTGGTCACGTTGAGGGAGAGTTGTTGTCCTGGCACCACACGGCCAGATCTCTGACCTCCTCCCTATAGGCTGTCTCATCGTTGTCGTGGATCACCTACCACTTGTCTCGGCAACTAATGAGGTTGATGTGTGCATGCATCAGGGAGGGTCAGGGGGACTGGCACGCACCCCTGAGGCCCCCTGTTGAGGTCAGTGTGGCAGATGTGTGTTACCCTTACCACCGGGGGCGGCCGTCAGGAAGTCCAGGATCCGTGCAGAGGGATTTAGTCCGGATCCTTAGCTTTGTGACTTAGAGGCACTATTGGTGTTGGCGAGCTGTAGAATGAAGATTCATCCGGGACCACCAACGTTCAATAATGATGGCCACATGACTGTAATGCTTGTAACATTTTGGCTATCCTTTCAAAGATCTGTGCCCTACAAAATTACCTGTACTCGACTCTGTTGACACATTGGCAGAACGATTACAGCCTAAGTCCTTCGTGGGTATGACGCTACAAGCTTGGCAACACCTGTATTTTGGGGAGTTTCCTCCCATTCTCTCTGCGAATCCTCTCAAGCGCTGTCAGGTTGGATGTTGATCGGGTTGTTTCGATCGGGTTTTAAGTCCGGGCTCTGGCTGGGCCACTCAAGACACATTGAGACATCGCAGTGCCCGAAGCCACTCCTGCATTGTCTTGGCTGTGTTCTTCAGGGTCGCTTTGCCCTGTTGGTAGGTGAACGCTTTGTGATTATGGAGTATTGTGTGTAGATTGCTGAGGATTTAATTTAATTTAATCAATTTTAGAATAAGGCTGTAACGTAACAAAATGTGAAAAACGTCAAGGGGTCTGAATACTTTCCGAAGGCACTGTAGATCCCAATTAGCTGCTGCCTTCCTGGGGTCCAGCAACATTAAGGCAGTTATATACAATTTAAAAAAAATCACAACAGGGGGCGGCAGATAGCTTAGTGGTTAAGAGCGTTGTGCCAGTAACCGAAAGGTTGCTGGTTCTAATCCCCGAGCCAACTAGGTGAAAAATCTGTCGATGTGCCCTTGAGCAAGGCACTTAATCCTAATTGCTCCTGTAAGTCACTCTGGATAAGAGCGTCTGCTAAATGACTAAAAAAATTAAATTAAAATTCAAAACACATTAAGTGTGTGCCCTAAGGCCACTACTCTACAACACAAAATCCATGTGTGTGTATAGTGCCTATGTTATCATGTGTGACTCTTCACAGTCCCCACTGTTCCATAAGGTGTATTTTTATCCGTTTTTGAAATCTGATTTCAGGCGCACCGATTTATGTATTGTATTGTACTCAGTGGCCGAACACAGACCTTTCAAAAATACAAACGTTTTAACCAAAAGAAAAGGGGACTTTAGAGACTGGAAGGGAAAGGGGGCATGTGCTCTGCACAGGTAGAGCCCTATCTGTGCACGTTCCTGATTGTACTGATGTACCATAAAACTTCAAATTAATAGCCCAGGCGTTTATTTGCTTAAATCACTGGACACAACAGGTGGTTATTAGAGACAGGCTTCTATTTGAGCCAGGTGTCTATTTCCTTAATGCGCACAGATTTTGCTCATTTGAATATTGAATTGTTGATTCCAGCATTCACTTCCAGCATTTTAATACATTTCTTCATTTCCTGCAGTAATGTGTAGTTTACACACTGTATCACGTTTATTTTGTCTTAGTATGCCTCTATCGCAAATAAAAAAACTTCCTTGACATAATAATTATTCTCTTTGACTGTTAATCTTTGGGAGTTTTTACTTTCGCCATTAGAGGGTGATCGGACGATTTATTGGGGTCTGCACTCCCGAAGTTGTTGACTGTTTTTGTGCTTGTCAGTTAGCTAGTAATTGTCAGCTGTTACCAGCCAATGGCTAGCAGTTTCTTACTGGTGATAAAATCGGATGATTGTCATAAATCTTTTGAGTCATTACTGAATTATTTACTGTAACAAATCAAACATTAAATCTTGTAAACAAGTCATGGTAATTCATGTTAACCTGGTAAACAATTCATTTAGACCGGTGTTTATTTGAAACAGGTTTATTTGCTGAAATATGTGCCTCTGCCCGGCTATTAAAAAGGGACAGGCGGCTATTTCAGACGTTTAATTGAAGTTTTACGGTATTGTAGTAGTTCTTCCGTACGTGGCTCAGTTCGTAAGAGTGTGGCACTAGCAACGTTAGAGTTGTGGGTTCGATTCCCACTGGGGTCACATATGAGAATGTGTGGACTCACTGTTGTCACTTTGTATAAAAGCTTATGCTACGTAAATGGCATACTGTATATTACCGTATTACAGTACTGTATTGGCCAATGCAATTTTAGTAAAGCAGTGCGAACCCATGTGTACCTCCTGGTATATTAAGGCCTCCTTGACTCAGAATGCACCACGCGGCTTATTAAAAATGAATGGTTAGCATTCCCATTGGAGTTACGACTAATGCTAACAAGATGGTGGTATTTCGCTGAATCGTCTTTGTCTCTGTCTTCTCCTTCATTTTAGTCTTCTTGGTAATAGGAACTCTTAGAGAGGACCCAATAGACCTTTGGTTTTAAAGCTATTATTGAAAGTCGGCAGTATAGGGAGTGTAGAGTAGAGTATAGTAGTACTTTATTGATCCCAACTTGGAAAATTGTTTCATCACCACAAGCGTCATCAATGATTACAAATACACACATATAAAAAACACATATTAAAAATACATGCAACCCATGCACCTAGGATCAATAAAAGATTGAGTTCAATTTAAAACGAAAAGAAATGCTGATGACATTCTGGGGGAAATAAGCAACAACAACATTCATTGAGTGCAGATGTTTTATGAAGCTTATGTAAAGGACAGTCATGGAGGATGACTGACTGACTGCTGTGCCTCTGTTTGTGTCTCTGTGTCTCAGCTGCGAAACCCATCAGATAAGTTCATCTACGCCACAGTGAAGCAGAGCTCGGTGGACATCTACTTCCGGCGCCAAGTGGAGTTGAGCACCATGTACCGCCACATGGAGAAGCACAACTACGAAAGTGCCGCTGAGGCCATCCAAGCTGTGCGCGACAAGTGAGCAACAGCTGTGGCAGCTCCGGGGGAAGGGGGAAGGGGGAGGGGGGGTCAATTCAGATGGGGGAGGCCGTAATGCTGAATGTACAGTATTTATGCTATCCCGGGTGAGCAATAGTGCGAGGAAGGCAATAATGACATGGTGTGGTTATCTAGTGTGCATTTTCATTCACTCATTCGTTCCCGTTCCTCCTCTTCCCTGTTGTCCGTGTCCCTCCCTCCCTCAGCAAACTGCACGCGTTCATCTGGGACTCTGCCGTCCTGGAGTTTGAGGCGTCACAGAAGTGTGACTTGGTGACAACGGGAGAGCTGTTCTTCCGTTCCGGCTTCGGCATAGGCATGCGGAAGGACAGCCCTTGGAAGCAAAACGTTTCCCTGTCCATTCTTAGGTGAATATTGGCCAGCAACAAGCTACTATTGAAGCCACATGCTACCATACAATATTATAATAGGGCTGGTTTCCTGGACACAGATTAAGCCTGGTCCTAGACTAAAAAGCATGGTCAATGGAGAGTCTCCATTGAAATACTGTAGCTTTTTAGTCCAGGACTAAGCCTAATGTGTGTCTAGGAAACCACCCCATAGTATACTCTATGTATTGTAGCAGTATTTACTGTTTGAGACCTAACTTAAAGTATGATCTGGCTCTTCTCCCATAACAGCTCTCATGAGAATGGCTTCATGGAGGAACTAGATAAAACCTGGGTGAGATACCAGGAGTGTGACTCTAGGAGTAATGCCCCAGCCACTCTCACCTTTGAGAACATGGCAGGTACGTACGGTTCTCCAATTTAGTCCATATTGATACAGAAATTAGAGGAAATGCAAAGAGTAAACTGGTGTATAAGGAAGTAGCCCCCATTGTCTGAGCCAGAATGTTAGTATATAGCAGGTGTGTAGGTGTTCAAATTGGTATGTAGATATTCCTTTATCTGCAGGAGTTTGACAGATTGACAGATTATTGTCATTAGGTTCTTTAGATTAGGTTCATTGTGTTCAAAATGGACCTCCACAGAGGATGCAGGGGTTACTGGGGACGTGGGTTAATAGTATGACCTGTGCACCGCAGGCAGTATAATAACAGGTTTTAATGTTCCAAATTGCCTCCTAACAGGTGTATTCATGTTGGTTGCTGGGGGTATCGTTGCTGGAATCTTCCTCATCTTTATTGAGATTGCGTACAAGCGCCACAAAGATGCCCGCAGGAAGCAGATGCAGCTGGCCTTCGCTGCGGTCAACGTGTGGAGGAAGAACCTACAGGTATGATCCGCCCGTCTTCACACACAGGCCCCAACAGGGCAGCACATCAGACAACATCCTGTAGAGCAGGTTCTCAAACTCGCGACTCGCACGCCACATCTGGATCTAATGCGGCCCGTGGTGATCTTAGTAAATCCGGTCAGCGGTTGTAAAAAAAATACAAAATAAAACTTTACTGGGGATAGACTTATAGTTTGTTATTGAAATCTAATTAAATGATTTGCCTTCGCAAGTCATTCAATAATTATTCAACCCTTTTTCCATATTATATTTATTTTGAGATTGTCACAGGTAACCGCCGTTGGAGAGTGATTTAATGTGGACAGGATTAGAAAAAGTGTGTGGGTGAGCTGCATGCTACTTCTCTAAATTTGGAAATGACTTATAATGAGAGATCCATGTTTTTTTGCACTACAAATCCCTCCCAAAACATGAATGTAACAAACAGCTGGGAGGGTATTTGCAGCTCCACATGCATACGTATAGTACACTCCCCTGTGCCTGTGAAAGGACTGATTTCATTATCCTCGTCTTCTGCTGCTGTGTGTCTGAGCGCACGAGAACACGGCCGGTCTCCTGCCTGGAGGGGACGATGACCCCCTTCCCCCATCCCCCACCCCTCTCTCTCTGTGAAGGGCAGAGTGGGGGAGTGCAGTGAGGGAGAGCACCGGGGGAGTGCACCGGGTGAGTGCAGTGGGGCACCAGGACGCTTTGATGTTTCTGTACAGTCAGCCAGATGCACACTGGGCCTGGCTCTCTCACTAAAGGGCTGCTGAATAACACAACGGGTGGCAGCCAAGCGTCTCCTAGCCAATGATCTCTTTTTACGCACATCATGTCCTTGTACTGTTTGTAAAGGGGGGGTCGGAAAGTAACAGGGCTTTGGCCTTTTGTGTCTTGAAAGGCTAAGCACGCTAGCTTTGGTTGACACACCATATACAGTGAGGGAAAAAAGTATTTGATCCCCTGCTGATTTTGTACGTTTGCCCACTGACAAAGAAATGATCAGTCTATAATTTTAATGGTAGGTTTATTTGAACAGTGAGAGACAGAATAACAACAACAAAAAATACAGAAAAACGCATGTCAAAAATGTTATAAATTGATTTTCATTTTAATGAGGGAAGTAAGTATTTGACCCCCTCTCAATCAGAAAGATTTCTGGCTCCCAGGTGTCTTTTATAGAGGTAACGAGCTGAGATTAGGAACACACTCTTAACCCTCCCGTTGTCCTAGGGTCAAAATGACCCGCCACTGTGTTGAACCAACTTTATTTAATTTTTATATTTTTGGATCATTTGTGAGAAGGAGGCAGTGATACTTTCTTTAAAGTCTCACTGCCTCCTTCTCACAAATGATCCCAAAAATATAAAAATTAAATAAAGTTTGTTCAACACAGTGGCGGGTCATTTTGACCCTAGGACAACGGGAGGGTTGGGAGTGCTCCTAATCTCAGTTTGTTACCTGTATAAAAGACACCTGTCCACAGAAGCAATCAATCAATCAGATTCCAAACTCTCCACCATGGCCAAGACCAAAGAGCTCTCCAAGGATGTCAGGGACAAGATTGTAGACCTACACAAGGCTGGAATGGGCTACAAGACCATTGCCAAGCAGCTTGGTGAGAAGGTGACAACAAATGGAATAAACACAAAATAACTGTCAATCTCCCTCGGCCTGGGGCTCCATGCAAGATCTCACTTTGTGGAGTTGCAATGATCATGAGAACGGAATCAGCCCAGAACTACACGGGAGGATCTTGTCAATGATCTCAAGGCAGCTGGGACCATAGTCACCAAGAAAACAATTGGTAACACACTACGCCATGAAGGACTGAAATCCTGCAGCGCCCGCAAGCTCAAGAAAGCACATATACATGCCCGTCTGAAGTTTGCCAATGAACATCTGAATGATTCAGAGGAGAACTGGGTGAAACTGTTGTGGTCAGATGAGACCAAAATGGAGCTCTTTGGCATCAACTCAACTCGCCGTGTTTGGAGGAGGAGGAATGCTGCCTATGACCCCAAGAACACCATCCCCACCGTCAAACATGGAGGTGGAAACATTATGCTTTAGGGGTGTTTTTCTGCTAAGGGGACAGGACAACTTCACCGCATCAAAGGGACGATGGACGGGGCCATGTACCATCAAATCTTGGGTGAGAACCTCCTTCCCTCAGCCAGGGCATTGAAAATGGGTCGTGGATGGGTATTCCAGCATGACAATGAACCAAAACACACGGCTAAGGCAACAAAGGCGTGGCTCAAGAAGAAGGACATTAAGGTCCTGGAGTGGCCTAAACAGTCTCCAGACCTTAATCCCATAGAAAATCTGTGGAGGGAGCTGAAGGTTGGAGTTGCCAAACGTCAGCCTTGAAACCTTAATGACTTGGAGAAGATCTGCAAAGAGGAGTGGGACAAAATCCCTCCTGAGATGTGTGCAAACCTGGTGGCCAACTACAAGAAACGTCTGACCTCTGTGATTGCCAACAAGGGTTTTGCCACCAAGTACTAAGTCATGTTTTGCAGAGGGGTCAAATACTTATTTCCCTCATTAAATGCAAATCAATTTATAACATTTTTGACATGCATTTTTTTGTGGATTTTTTGGTTGTTATTCTGTCTCTCACTGTTCAAATAAACCTACCATTAAAATTATAGACTGATCATGTCTTTGTCAGTGGGCAAACGTATAAAATCAGCAGGGGATCAAATACTTTTTTCCCTCACTGTAAGCCATACTGTACAGGCCAGTGCTTGAAATGGATCTGAAATAGGTGCCAGTACTCATAATATTTTTCAAAGCCAATATTCAAGGTTGCCGGTACTCTGTACTGGTGATCACCACCACCGACCCAACTCAAGCCAAACAATACAAGCCATATAAGACTCTGTAGTAGCATGCAATGCTCCCAGCCACTGATTAAACCCTCCAACAGTTTAGAGAAAACGTTTTTATTTTTTAAAAACATGGTCTAATTGGTTGTAAAATGTCAAGATTGAACTTGTGCTATATATTTCTTAATTACGTTGATGATTGTGTCAAGTGGGACCAGCTAATGTCAATCTCATTTCATTAAAATGTTCTCTGGTCCAGATTGTTAGTGTGCGTTCCTCTAGTAGTTACAGACCAGAAGCAACTAGTTGTTGTCATTTCACGATGGGACCAAAGCTACTTGCTGCTTAGCTTCGTAGGTCCTGTTGCTTTCTTGAATCTGTGAGTACTATATTCAGGGTACACTGCCAGTCAAAAGCAGAGGCACCAACATTAGATACCTGTGTATGACTTCTCACCAGAAGACAGTGTTGACAGATTGTTTAGACTGATGTGCAAGCTGTTTAGGGAAGATTTATTTTTGTAAAAAAAAAGCAGTTTCATTTGAAGGATTTGCTATCTCAATGGACAACAATGAGGTGAACTTTGCTTTATCTTTCAGCAAGTCTCCGACTGCTTGTGCCAGAGGCCATAACATTGGGATGGGCACTACCACACACACCACCCACTACCAGCCATAGGGCCATTACTATAGGGCTCCTAATTACAATAGTACAGTAAAAGCATTTCCTTGTTCAGTTCAACCGAGAGAGCACTTACTGTTCTTTGAAGCTTTGACATATTGTCTTGTTCTTTCCAACTACTGAGCCGTGAGGTAAACAAGTCTAAATAAATCTCCTTTAGACGTTGCATTCGGTATTGCTCTCTATGGAAGGTGAAAAACCACGAGCAAGGCTGGCTAATATTTGCGCTGGGATATATCCACTGGGACACTGTATTGTTGTAAGGCCAAATGAATACCGTACAAATTCTCATTATATTAAAAGATGGATGCCCTGCTTTTGACTGGATGATGTATTATTGATTTATGTGTGATTTATACTCCAGGCCGTGTTTATGCATATGTATGAAGGGTGTACATGTGCATATTTAAACAACAATAATGGCAGACAGACAACAAGCACCACTGGAAAACATGCCATTGAAGCTAGCCAAAGATCAAGCTGTGTGCACTGTATGTGAAACAATGGTACACTAATGTCAGGTGCACCACTATGTACTGTAATGCTGCTCGACCAACTATATTTCTCCCCATATTTTAAATTAGCATGACTAGCCGTCTGTCCTCTGGCTGAATTAGCATTTCAAACGATTCCAGACAGCCCTCTGATCAAGGCGGTGTTGTTGAGCGACCTCATTCAGTGGTGAACGGTCTGAGAAGGTTGCAATGAAAAGGTGATGAACACAATTGTGGAGATTGTAAAGGGGGATTCTGCAATGATTTCACTGTTGTTGTTGATATCCTGGATTTAATCATCTCTTGAATATGCACAATGTCTTCCTTTGGAACTCTCATTGATGATATACTGTGTTTCAAAGGGTAAAAAGTGAAAAGCGTGTTCCAAATGATTTAGACATCTAAAACAAATCACAAAGCAATATACAGTATTTTGCTATTTATAATCAGACCCCTTATCTGTTATGTGGAATTTAAAGTGATACCACAGGTCAAATAAACCTGCTCCATGCTTTTTGAGGAGTCAAGGACTATTAGGGGATTATAGCCACCAAGATGACATAAGTTCATGTGGGACAGTGCTGGCCTATAGGTTCGACATCATATCACTCATTCTACATACTGTATCCCTTTTGGTTTTCCTGCACCGCATGTTTTCTGGTTGAAGTCACACCCCCTTCCCAAAATGGGACTTCCCCTGCTCCTCTTAGTCTTCACCGCCCTCTTTGCCGTGGGAGAAACACCATTATACTAGTGTTGGTATAATGCAAAAGGGACCTTGTTGAGTTTCACATGGTTTATTGATTGGTTGGTCCATCTTTTTTCCATGATCTTACTGATCATTGTATCCCCCCCCCCCCCCCCACCCCCTCCTACTTTTAGTGTTGCTTTGCCTTATTGTTGTCTTTATTGCATTCGTTTTAGCTCATTTTCTTTGCTCCTTTCGCTTTTCGTCTTGAAGTAAAATAACCATGGATGGTTCTTATTTTACTGTACCATGCCATCCGAGGCAGTCCTCTTCCGCATGAGTGACTCAGAAAGTAGCCAGGAGAAATATACACAGCTCTTAATAGTATCCTGGCTCTTTAGCAGCATCCAATTATAGGATACTTTATACAGTGGGGAAAAAAAGTATTTAGTCAGCCACCAATTGTGCATATTCTCCCACTTAAAAAGATGAGAGAGGCCTGTAATTTTCATCATAGGTACACGTCAACTATGAAAGACAAATAGAGAAAAAAAAATCCAGAAAATCACATTGTAGGATTTTTTATGAATTTATTTGCAAATTATGGTGGAAAATAAGTATTTGGTCACCTACAAACAAGCAAGATTTCTGGCTCTCACAGACCTGTAACTTCTTCTTTAAGAGGCTCCTCTGTCCTCCACTCGTTACCTGTATTAATGGCACCTGTTTGAACTTGTTATCAGTATAAAAGACACCTGTCCACAACCTCAAACAGTCACACTCCAAACTCCACTATGGCCAAGACCAAAGAGCTGTCATAGGTCACCAGAAACAAAATTGTAGACCTGCACCAGGCTGGGAAGACTGAATCTGCAATAGGTAAGCAGTTGGGTTTGAAGAAATCAACTGTGGGAGCAATTATTAGGAAATGGAAGACATACAAGACCACTGATAATCTCCCTCGATCTGGGGCTCCACGCAAGATCTCACCCCGTGGGGTCAAAATGATCACAAGAACGGTGAGCAAAAATCCCAGAACCACACGGGGGGACCTAGTGAATGACCTGCAGAGAGCTGGGACCAAAGTAACAAAGCCTACCATCAGTAACACACTACGCCGCCAGGGACTCAAATCCTGCAGTGCCAGACGTGTCCCCCTGCTTAAGCCAGTACATGTCCAGGCCCGTCTGAAGTTTGCTAGAGTGCATTTGGATGATCCAGAAAAGGATTGGGAGAATGTCATATGGTCAGATGAAACCAAAATAGAACTTTTTGGTAAAAACTCAACTCGTCGTGTTTGGAGGACAAAGAATGCTGAGTTGCATCCAAAGAACACCATACCTACTGTGAAGCATGGGGGTGGAAACATCATGCTTTGGGGCTGTTTTTCTGCAAAGGGACCAGGACGACTGATCCGTGTAAAGGAAAGAATGAATGGGGCCATGTATCGTGAGATTTTGAGTGAAAACCTCCTTCCATCAGCAAGGGCATTGAAGATGAAACGTGGCTGGGTCTTTCAGCATGACAATGATCCCAAACACACCGCCCGGGCAACGAAGGAGTGGCTTCGTAAGAAGCATTTCAAGGTCCTGGAGTGGCCTAGCCAGTCTCCAGATCTCAACCCCATAGAAAATCTTTGGAGGGAGTTGAAAGTCCGTGTTGCCCAGCGACAGCCCCAAAACATCACTGCTCTAGAGGAGATCTGCATGGAGGAATGGGCCAAAATACCAGCAACAGTGTGTGAAAACCTTGTGAAGACTTACAGAAAACGTTTGACCTGTGTCATTGCCAACAAAGGGTATATAACAAAGTATTGAGAAACTTTTGTTATTGACCAAATACTTATTTTCCACCATAATTTGCAAATAAATTCATTAAAAATCCTACAATGTGAATTTCTGGATTATTTTTTCTCATTTTGTCTATCATAGTTGACGTGTACCTATGATGAAAATTACAGGCCTCTCTCATCTTTTTAAGTGGGAGAACTTGCACAATTGGTGGCTGACTAAATACTTTTTTTCCCCACTGTATGTCCACATGGCATGGGTGTAGACAGAAAGTGGACATGAGATATGGGACCATGTTAAAGCTGGTAATTGATATAGAGACTAGTGTAACTACTCTGCAAAAGTGAAACTGTGAGGATTTGACACAGTGAGAGCTCAGGGAGAAAGTGGTGTGTAGTAATGTGTGTGTGTGTCTGTGTGGGGGGGGCACTGAGACCAAACACACTCCATCAGGGAACACCAATAATGTTTCTACATATATATTTATTTTAGGATAGGAAAAGTGATAGAGCAGAGCCCGACTCCAAACAGAAAGCCCCTTTTAGGTCCATCAGTACCAACCTGGCCTCCAACATCAAGAGACGTAGGTCCTCCAAAGACACGGTAAGGAGATGAAGGAAATGACACCCTCCCCTGTGATTCTCTCTCTTCCTCTCTTCCTTTACCTCATTCTCTTTTCTCTCTCCTCTGTCATCTCTTCTCGCAAAACGTTTCATTCCAGGCTCTCGTCAGTCACCCTCACACGTGGCGTTACAGTCATGGCCACGCGTCTGTCAGTCAGTCATCGATAAACCATCCAGACATTTGTCCAAAAACCAAAGAAGGAAACCGATATGAGCAGGAGTAGGCAGTCTAAAGCTAAAGGCTTTCGTTTTCTTTGATAAAACAATTTATTTTTGTTTTTAATGACTATTATGCAAGGGGGCAACAAGAGCTAGCCCTTTATGCATTATGCTGGTCTTTCTCCTGTGGCTAACCTGGACACCATTTTGGTTTGTGCTCTCCTTTTTAGTTGTGTATGTGTGTTTCTCTCTCCTTTCACTGCTTGGGCTGTGCTGCACCTTCCTTTTTGTGTGTCACATTTTGTGTGGTTGTTGTCAAGTCATGTTCCTGTCAATAAAAAAAAGAATGGCCAAGAAAAACCTAAATGCAAAGAAATAACAGACTTTACATTCTCTTTTCTTCCCACAGACTTTCCATTTTTAGGGATCTCCTGTCGAGTATGTTTGACCAAACAATATTTACGTGCAGTGTTTCAATCAACAAATGTTGCTGGGAATAAAAGGAGCTATAATTATAATATAATATATGCATGCCATTTATGTCATTGTGGATTGCGTATTGTCCTGATGATAAATCTCAAACTGAATTGTTTATGTTGAACACTTGGTAATTTAATGACAATCATTTCTACACTAGATTATCCAGAGCTCAACATGTTCGTTCCAGGAGTCCTGGAACTGTATACGGATACATGGATACTGTATACAGTGGGGGAAAAAAGTATTTAGTCAGCCACCAATTGTGCAAGTTCTCCCACTTAAAAAGATGAGAGAGGCCTGTAATTTTCATCATAGGTACACGTCAACTTTGACAGACAAAATAAGAAAATAAAATCCAGAAAATCACATTGTAGGATTTTTAATGAATTTATTTGCAAATTATGGTGGAAAATAAGTATTTGGTCAATAACAAAAGTTTCTCAATACTTTGTTATATACCCTTTGTTGGCAATGACACAGGTCAAAAGTTTTCTGTAAGTCTTCACAAGGTTTTCACACACTGTTGCTGGTATTTTGGCCCATTCCTCCATGCAGATCTCCTCAAGAGCAGTGATGTTTTGGGGCTGTCGCTGGGCAACACGGACTTTCAACTCCCTCCAAAGATTTTCTATGGGGTTGAGATCTGGAGACTAGCTAGGCCACTCCAGGACCTTGAAATGCTTCTTACGAAGCCACTCTTTCATTGCCCGGGCGGTGTGTTTGGGATCATTGTCATGCTGAAAGACCCAGCCACGTTTCATCTTCAATGCCCTTGCTGATGGAAGGAGGTTTTCACTTAAAATCTCACGATACATGGCCCCATTCATTCTTTCCTTTACACGGATCAGTCGTCCTGGTCCCTTTGCAGAAAAACAGCCCCAAAGCATGATGTTTCCACCCCCATGCTTCACAGTAGGTATGGTGTTCTTTGGATGCAACTCAGCATTCTTTGTCCTCCAAACACGACGAGTTGAGTTTTGACCAAAAAGTTCTATTTTGGTTTCATCTGACCATATGACATTCTCCCAATCCTCTTCTGGATCATCCAAATGCACTCTAGCAAACTTCAGACGGGCCTGGACATGTACTGGCTTAAGCAGGGGGACACGTCTGGCACTGCAGGATTTGAGTCCCTGGCGGCGTAGTGTGTTACTGATGGTAGGCTTTGTTACTTTGGTCCCAGCTCTCTGCAGGTCATTCACTAGGTCCCCCCGTGTGGTTCTGGGATTTTTGCTCACCGTTCTTGTGATCATTTTGACCCCACGGGGTGAGATCTTGCGTGGAGCCCCAGATCGAGGGAGATTATCAGTGGTCTTGTATGTCTTCCATTTCCTAATAATTGCTCCCACAGTTGATTTCTTCAAACCAAGCTGCTTACCTATAGCAGATTCAGTCTTCCCAGCCTGGTGCAGGTCTACAATTTTGTTTCTGGTGTCCTTTGACAGCTCTTTGGTCTTGGCCATAGTGTGACTGTTTGAGGTTGTGGACAGGTGTCTTTTATACTGATAACAAGTTCAAACAGGTGCCATTAATACAGGTAACGAGTGGAGGACAGAGGAGCCTCTTAAAGAAGAAGTTACAGGTCTGTGAGAGACAGAAATCTTGCTTGTTTGTAGGTGACCAAATACTTATTTTCCACCATAATTTGCAAATAAATTCATAAAAAATCCTACAATGTGATTTTCTGGAAAACAAATTCTCAATTTGTCTGTCATAGTTGACGTGTACCTATGATGAAAATGACGGGCCTCGCTCATCTTTTTAAGTGGGAGAACTTGCACAATTGGTGGCTGACTAAATACTTTTTTCCCCCACTGTATATGGTTACTATTCATACTGAATGTAGTTTTATAATAGCCTGGTGTGCTGTAGCTAACTATTTGTGATGCCATACATGTTTGGTGTGACAATGGATGAACTCAGAGAGGACTTACTTGGCTGAAGCACAAACAGACAGGAGCACCAGGCTACAAAGTCTAGACAGAGGACTGGGAGGTATTCCAGTCTGTTGAGCATTGGTATTGTCAGCTGAAGATTTTAGTCATTTCAAAAAACTGTTTATTTAGTTTTACTTTTTGCCTCCAGGTGGTGCCGCCCATAGCAGTTTGACAATCTTACAGAGACCTGTCTCTGTAGACAATCAATCAAGTTTTATTTTAATATACATTTTGTATTATTATATAGCGATAAAAATAGGTAGCCTAAACTACCCCCCCCAAAAAAGTTCATACACTTTAATTGGAATTTACCCATTTATTTTTGTCGTAACCATCCTATTATTTTATATCAGTGTTTATTTATAAATGGATTTCAATGGATTTTGAGTATCGGTGTCCACACCACATGCCACACTGCTTCTTTCCACCTCCTTGGTTGTTGTGGAGCAGTAGACTGTTGTCATGCTGTTCACCTGTCTGTTGGCAGGAGGTGCTGTGAGCTATGATTCGGAATGTGAAGCTATACCTTAAATTGTAACAGCACTGGAAACAGTGAGGTCACACATGTTCAGTAGTCAAATGTGGTTGAACGTTGCAGATTGAAATGCCATGAATAGAACTGACGTGATTCCTTATGCTACATGTCAGAAAGGCATGTTTGTTCTACATAGCATATCTCTATCTGAACGTTCCACAACGTTGCACCCTTGGTACAATCTCACTTTCGTGGAATATCAAGACAACTTTTTACATTTCCTTTATGGATTTCTTGGTCACAACAAGAATATTTGACACACCTTTTTTTTTTTTTTTTTAAGGTGGTGGTAATTTTGAATGATAAACAGCTTAATGACTGTCATCCACTGCATTCGAATCACTTTTATTCAATGGTAATTGGTAATCCGTGGTGAAGTGAACCATTTCTCAGCAGGACAAAAACATCCGTGCCCGGATATTATCATGTCAGTTTCCATGGTAACCGAGGGTAGGCAATTTTATAGACCCTTTGTAACAAAATATGTTAAATGGGCTGGGACAACACGTCTCTGTATAAATCAATACCATACAGCGGGAAAAAAATCCAGTTACTTGGCAACAACACTGCAGCTTAGTCTCACATCTGTGACCTTGCTTTGTTTATTGATCAGCATGCACAGTTCAGAGGGTCCCTGTGGTGCTAAGCTTGATCTGTCCAAACAACCATTCCGAATCACAGGCAAACACTGCCTTGCGGGGGGAGGGGGCTTGATGAAAAGTATGACATAATCATGTTACATAACATTTGTTGTGTTGTATGCACCGTGAATATATATGATGTGAGTACAGATGAAATAATTGTTTCTATTTTGTGTTCTTCCATACTCTCTGCAGCCTTATCCCACGGACATCACAGGCCAACTCAACTTGTCAGACCCCTCTGTCAGCACGGTGGTGTGAGAGAGAGAGAGGGAGAGAGACAGAGAGAGAGAGAGAGACAGAGAGAGAGACAGAGAGAGAGAGAGAGACAGAGAGAGAGACAGAGAGAGAGAGAGACAGAGAGAGAGAGAGACAGAGAGAGAGACAGAGAGAGAGACAGAGAGAGAGACAGAGAGAGAGACCGAGAGGACTGAAATGAGAGGGAGGATCCTGGTTTGGAGCCAGAAGCTGGTCCATTGCTGCTACGCCACCTGAGCCATTGCCCATCCTGTTCTCTATCTACCCACATAGAATGTGTGTTCTGCTCATTCTAACGGATCCCCACCAAACACGACAGGCAGGAACTGGATAGCTGACATCCCACTGACAAGCTGTGCCAATTCACAATGGAGCCAAATCACCTGTTTTTTCCCACACAGAGGCCTGACCCAGCACAATGATAGCTTTAGGTTTATTTTTATAACCTGCATGCTAGAGTCATGTAGTTGTGTACTGTTCGTGTGAAACAACAAGAAATATATTACTTTTCTGATCATGTCATTCGCAACACATTGTCATGCACTGTGTTTCTGATTTCAATAAGCGATAGATTTAATAGATCGTGTTTAAGAGTATTTTGGGATGTCAATGTCTTACTACCTCCATTTATTTAGACAGACCTTAGACATGTAGGCTACTGTAGTTAGATGTATTTGACACTGTATTTTCATAAGGTTTTCCTGTGTTCCATTTATCGACAGGTTTTTGTTAGCTTTAGCTAACACGGTGTAGTGTGGGGCAATAACAATGGACAAGTTGTCGATTTATAAATTAGCAGCATACAGCTATGTAAATATCTAAGTGTAAATCCGAGTTAAGCACACTTTGTCCATTGTAGCACTCATATCAGCTGCAATCCCTTCCTTTAGCTATAGATGTCTTTCTTAGCCCCTTTGATGTGTTAATTTACTTAATTCTCTCACTGGTAGCACAGCATTGACTGGGTGGCAGACTATTCTCA